CCTGCTGTGACGTGCATTGTTTACAGAAGGATATGGCCGATGTCTTTTGCTATATTCTGGTGGAGGTGTTTGGAAATGTCGTGGTGATGGGATTGATGAGCTCCGATCCGACAGACATCCCAACGATGACGTGGACGCAGTGGAACATGTCGTACTTTGTCCTAACACACCTTTAGTTACGAATGAATCGCCGCTGCTTTCGTCGCTAACTAGAAACGAAAAGGCTGTTGTTTAACTAGAAACCATCTCAAATTTAACCAAAACAGTGGAATCCTAACCGTAACATGTCTCGTCCTTCAGCATAACTCTTCTAAACTTTTTTTGGAATATAATGGTGAAAAAGGGTAAGACATACTGAGACAAGTATCCGGAACATTCCGTGCTTTCTCGATGTACTGCGCGGCGGATATAAGCTGTGAGAAACAGAAAGGCGAATGTCTTCGATCCATAAAAAGAAATCACCCGAAGCTATAATAGAGTATCATCCATTATTAATGACGAGGATGATGGACTATTCATCCATGAATCATCATATCAATGTCTAACCAATAAGCTACAAGAGGAGAACGTCACTCGAGAATTCGAGGACGGATGAACAACAGCTATGCTCGCTATCTTATCGCACCGAGTAACTTGACACAGCCAACCAATTGCGTCTTCCGTATGATCCCTGAGAAAGATGACTTTATTTACAAACTGTCAGTCAGCTGGCTTTTAATGTCCTCCTGACTGCCCAATTAAGGCTGGTGGATGGTGAGATACAAACTTATACACACACACACATACATATGGGAGCGGAGTAGAACGTGGTGGGTAGATAGGCTGTGCTTCTCGTGCCTCCCACGCCTAGTGCAGCTACAACTGCAATGGCGCTAGCAGCGCTGCTAGCAGACTGTTCGAGGTGGTAGTCTTTCACACCTATATGAAGAAAGGTGGTAAAAGCGGGTAGTTCTTATATGCAGGCATAACAGGACGCTCCGGGTAGTGAATTGTTGTTTGACTCACTGCTGACTGTTTGGAGAGCATAGCAAGTGCTGCTCAAGTTTACACGCCTTTTCACATTTCAGTAGATCCGGACGATGACCCTATGTATGTGTGTATGTGTGTCTGTCCCTCTGCTTGTCTGTTTATGTGTGTGTAGGTATATATGCAGGCATGTATGTATATGTGTACGTATGTTGTTGTGGCACAAGTTGAGTAACCACTGCTGGTTCCAATCACTACCCCTACTTATCACTTTAATATGATCGCTATTTGTAGAGAAGGCTTGAACCTGCACTGGTTGCAAAAGGAATGGAAAATGATTTTTGTGATAATAATAGTTTCAATAATAATAATTAATAATAATAATAATAATAATAATAATAATAATAATAATAATAATAATAATAATAATAATAATAATAATAATGATAATAATAATTAATAATAATATAATAATAATAATAATAATAATAATAATGATAATAATAATTAATAATAATAGTAATAATGATAATAATAATAGTAATTAATAATAATTAACAATAATGATAAATAATAATGAATAATAATAATAATAATAATAATTAATAATAACAAAGGCGAGCAGATAATGATAAGGGTTTGGAGTGATAGCGAGGGATGTGCTCACTGTACTGATATCGGAATGTGCAAATGGTTAAGCTATGCATGTTATCGGTAGGCTTTTGAGTTAACTGAAAGGGGCGGGTAGATGCGTGATAAATGACATTGATCAATTTAGAGGGGGGTGGGTGCTAAGCTCTTCAGCTTAATGGAAGTTGTTGCTGGCTGTTTCAAAATAAACTTACGTAAGGCCAGTCAGGCACGTACGTTATGACAGTGGAAGAATGTAAATGTCGTCAGTAATTTGTGGAACTAGTTGAAAATATCGAAAAAAAAAAAGGAGGAAAATAAGAAAATATGTGATGAGCGGAGTTGATGAGAACAGCTATAACTAGGTGGAAGAGAGTGTGGGAAGTACCTCTTCCAGCAGCCATGCTCTTGGTCTGTTATAAATGTGAAAGTGTGCGCATTGTCATTTCTACCGCAATCGCTGAAGTTTCTGAGGTGATGCTGAAGAAAAGTTAATAGAATGATTCTAACTTATTTAATGATGAATGTGGACTAAATGACATGTGCCAGTTCGAATATTTAACTCAGTTCACTATCTTCGATGCACATGTCACTACTTCCTCGTTGTTGAAGCCACGTGGATTGTAATATTGGAGTTTTAATTTCCAGAGTGTGACGCTTTTTAACATACAGTTAGCATGTAGCCAAAACTGAAGTGAACCTTTAACCCTAGTAGACAACATTCTACAATTTACCATCATCCATTGGTAAATTGTCATTTATTACGATTCTGCTGTCTACCTACGCCTTAGTAAATCAAGTTGTAAGGTTATTGACTAAGAACAACATTGCAAAACATGCACATTTCTCGCGAGTGCACGAATTGCTTAATCAATTAATAGTTTGCAAGGGAAATTTTGGAGAGCGTGTATGTATGTGTATGAGAGAGCAAGAGAGAGAAAGCTTTGGAGTCAAAAAGATGGAAGTCATCAGTGGACCAGAGAGGAGTTTTGAAGCGAAAACTTGAGTTAAAACTCGCTATTTCCAGCGATAGGAATTACAGCAAAAGCGTTGCTTCTTTCATTCGTATCAGTTGTAACGTTAACCTGACAGGTGTTGTTACACCTTGATGGGACAAGACCTCGATAAAATAAAAAGGATGATCACTTGCAAAATGGGGACACTGTAACAGAATGACATTGCACGTCTGCATCCGTCAGTTTCACAGCTTTCACAGCTTCACAGCTTCCCATACATACTTATAGTAGCACAAGTATAAATATTATTATCAAAATCGACCTATATTTTCTCCTTTTGGAAGCATTGCACCAGCTTTCCGGAGTATTATGAGTTTTTCTCAGTTTCTCCAGTCGCCAGTTGTTGTTTCCATATGGGTTTACAGTTTAGGTAAACATGGGAATCTTAGATTAGTTTTAAAAGTTGATAGGTTCCTGGAGACCTGTTCGGGTAGTAATGAATTGGCGACCACTACCTTTACGGGAAAGTTGCTTATAAGCCTTCTGTATGTTCAACCGATTTCCTTTCTACATATATTCGCTCTACAGGTGTGACAAGGTAATTGATTGAATCATGTACTCATTTTCTGTCTGATATTACCATTTTTATTTTTATTTTTTGGAAGAAATCCGTAAACACAAATGTAGAATATCACGTCACGCCTAGTGTCGCAACAAAGGTATCATTTCTCAAGAAGTAAACTGGCAACAATGCTTAGTCAATATTTCCGAAATTCTAGAAAATTGCGGCCAACGAAGTTAAACATGCAATTGGAACTTGAAGATCCATCGACTCGACCTATTTTAAAAGTATGATTGGAAAATGCAAGGGCACCTTAAATTACTGTTCAAAAGTGATCTCGCACATAGGCAGTTTTCGGGCATGAAAATGAAATCGATGAGCACTGCAAAGAGGACAGCAGAAATGTGATGCGGCAGTGGTTTTGAAATAAGGCATCAAAGATTGCGCCCATTCATTCCCAAAAATACGAACGACCATCGATGATTTTGATAGATGATGTCTTGTTCCTGTGTCTTAGTGACACACACACACACACACATATATATATATATATATATAGAGAGAGAGAGAGAGAGAGGGGTAGATAGACCGATAGATGGACAGATATATGTAGCAAAAAATTCGAAGAGATTTAAGCGCGAAGTGAACAGCAAGCATTCTTGGATCAGAAGAAGTAATTTGGTAACATTTCACTATGGGAAGCTCTCTTTTGCCTCTTACTTGGCATTTTTGACTTGGCCTGAAGCTTTAAACTGACTATCTGACCCGTTTGGCTTACACTATTACCCCTTCTAGACTTGTACCACCGATGAGCTAATGTTCCTTTTTTCGGTAGGAAATGGCAAGCTGCTTCACATCACAAAAGCATCACTGATAAGATTGCTCAGCTTTCTTCTCCTCTCTTATACTTCCACCAACTCTCCTTACTACGACGATGAAATCGACTGAAGGATACACGTCCTCCGGGAATTTGCTAATATGTGAATGGATTAAGTGTAGCGTCCCCACATCCCAACATCCATGCTCTCAAAAGAGATTAGCTGTGAAAGGCATAGCGAAAGCAGAAATTCTTCAAAACCTTCCTGAATAGCTGCGAAGCACAGATTTACTGTTTCGAATCAAGGTTAGCAATGGAGCTCTAAACTGCCTAACACTTTTTGAATTGTGATTGAACAGTAGTTATGCAGAAGGGAAATCATTATGCATTTGAAAAGAGGAATAAGAGAGATACTGAGAATTACTGCTGGAGCATTTGCAATTTCTAACTAATATGGTTAGATTATTTGTCGTGGCGCAATTGTAACAGTGCCTCTTTTAACAACATAGAGTGGTCAATGGCTGGCAATGAATGACCTCAAATTATAACTTTTTTCAAACTATAAGCAATGAGTAAGCTAAGAGTTAGTCACTTATTGATAGGGCAGCTAATTGTTTGGTGCGCTGCTGCGGTACTGTTTACATGTAATTCTTCCCTCGTTGACAATTTACTGTACTGCATGGGCAAGGAGGGAAGAATCGAGAGGAAATGGAATTAAACAGGTTTCCGGAATGCACGTGAAATGCATGTCAGCCATCAGTTGTTTCATCAATTGTTTCCTTTTTCCCTCTCAGCTTTTGATTTTTTTTTTCTTTCCCATTGACTGATTCCCTACCTAACTAGTCGAGAATCTGTCATACGGGCCACTAACTGGCTGAATGGCAACCGACCGGCTTATTGTTTATGAGTTTTTATAACAATTCTTAGGTGATCTTTCTGCCTTTCTGGTCATCTCATAGTTTATTTCAACGAGAACTCTCAGAAAGGAGAATTTTTACTTTGCATCTTTCTTTCTCAGGGCGTAGGAGAAGGCATCTTTATATACAAATACTACAAAAAAAAATGGAGTTCAAAGGAAAGTTGGAAGGTTTTCGATTTTCTGGACTAATGCTGTTACTGTTTGCTTCACTCTACACTGTATTTTGTTGCATAACAGTACCAAAAGATGAAGTGAAGTCAACATTTTCGTGCTTGGACTTACGTCAAAGATTGGGTAGAAAAGTACAGGAATTAAAAGGACAGCTGTTTTGTTGCCAGTATCCGTAACACCTATGAAATCAGAAAAAAACATTACGTGAATTTTGATGAAAATGGTGTTAAAGAAGAAAAGGAACGAGATGATGTTTATCCAATGCTACTTACCATTAAAAATCGCAATAAGCATACAACTGATTGTTATGTCATTTCTCGAGTAGTGAGAAGATGTGGTGTGATACGAGTTTAATATAAACTGAAGCTTATCGCAAACATTTGTCAACTGATGATAAATTCAGTAAGCTGAAAATGATGTGCGTGATGTATTGACTTGTTTATAAGAAGTATTCAAATCCATCTATGTTCCACAATTGCAAGGGCAGCGAGATTTTCTCCCCCCTTTGAAAAATTAAGTATCAAAATTTACCTATTCCTATCAATATTCTGAAAAATGGAACCGGTCAGCAGAACCTTTCACTATGGTTAGAGAAGCACATTGATGCCTTTTAAAAACCTGTTTCATCAGAACTTTCAGGAAATGCTTTATACAGAAGTTGCGGTTGGTTTCCTGTGGAATATCCTGTCCCACCAAATGAAACGAAGTTCAAATCCCTGACTTCAAATAAGAAAAAAACGCTTTCAATCCCATGATATGTAAGTTAAGTTACTCGAACGGCTCGCAAGTTTTAGTTTATTTTATAATCTGTCCAAATTTCCATATAATTCAAATATTACATCGAGCTTCTTCGATTAATTAATTAGCATGCATTGCAAAATATTCTTAACTCAGCTTGTATATTACAAATAGAAAGCGGAAGAAAGCACATTTTGTTTTCAGTGAGGGTAGGATAAACCGAGCAGGATGAGTAAGAATACGGGAAATATTGCGTTGGGAAAAGTAAGATTCTTCGTTGTGCTCTATAGGAAAGCGCTTAATTAATTAATTACTTATAAGCCATACCAGAGATTCAATCTGAAATCAATGCTTCAGTTCAATAATAATTCAAATTACCGTTTATACTGTTGTCGACAATTTATTTCACTTATACCAACAAACTGTTAACATCTTACAGAATTTGACCTCGGGGTCATCTCTGTCATTCATATTTCGAAAATTGATGAGGACCCAGCAATTTTATAAATTGTATAAAAAAGATTATTGTTAGAAATTTAGAGAAAACTGAAGCACAGAATAAGGATGATCCAATAGCGCTGATAATTTATAAAAGATTTGGATGCACTTAGATACATTTATGGTTCATTGATTTGGTGAATGATGGAGCAGTTCAACCGGTACTGCAGGGATGCATTTAAGTGGCTAATTAAAAATGAAGACGAGAACTGTGATGAGCAAAAGACAGAATAAGGTCAATCCTATCTTCATTAACATGATGCCTTTCACGTGAGCCAAGGAAGTGAAATTTAAGATGATCATAAACCAAATTCGTCATCAGCACATTTTTTTTTTCACATCACAGTTTTGTATGTTCTCTTAATCCTTCGTTTCTTTGTCGTCCATCACGACATCGATATTAACAATCAGGTTTCCGGATGGCACTCAATGTCAATTAGTGATAGTAAGACAAAAAATCTCAGTACAGTATAGGTGACACTAGTGAACGGATCTTTAGAATAAAGCCTCAGATGCACTTATTACCAGTGACCAATGCGAAGCAACTTTTCCTCTCTAAAATTTACCACCATCAATTCTCCTTCATCGTCACAACACACTGATATATAAATACAAGCTGAAGATAGCATCCTGTCCAGTGGATTTCGCAACATCAGAGTATCACGATGGTATGGTATGGTTGTTTGATTTTCAGTGGTATTTCAGCGTGAGATTTTTGGAAGGATATATGCACATAATACGTACACGCATATGCTCAGTTCAGAATGGTTGATGTTAGGCGCAATAAGCACTTTCTGATGGAAACAAGCATAGTTATTTATTCAGAGATAGGAAGCGGTTATCTTCAAAAAGTTAAGCTAATTTCAAGATGTCAAAGATAACATATACTCTTGTTCGTCCTGAAAAACAGTTAGTGAATAATTTTAGAATTTTTGTTGTAATTTTTCGTGTATATCCTTTAAACCATTTCGTCTTAATCATTCAACCATACATCTTATTCAGGTAGCCGAGATAACTCGAAATCTTATTTCAGTTACAATATTGTAAACAACACATCAAATGAGCAAATGTGTCCTACCGGAATAATTACAAATTTCCAAAATGAAAAGAGAAAAATGGAACCAAATTTCCTTAACTTTTGTAGAAATAAACCAAGAAAATATAGAGGAATAATTTGTCCAGAAGCGCTTACCAGCTAAAATATTCATACAAATCATATTCTCATTTGTAAGCCTCGTAGACCTCTCCTTCCCACTTCTTCACCTAAAATTTTGATTCAGTCTGTGATATCATACAGTGGTTCTGACTGTAGTGTTTCTGAAATCGGCTATTAAGTTGAAGAACTGTTTCAGCACCTATATTCATGCTGAAGAAGGGATGGTAATAAAAATTGAAACAGAGAAAATAAATGCATATTCTATAAAGTACAACAAAAGAACTGGAGGCTGTTACGGAATGGTGCTATTTTAGCCTTTCTCGAAACATAATGTTTCGAGAAAAGTAATAGCTTTACTGTAACTTGTCGCTACCGGAAATACTAAAAAATACTACTCAATCAAATCAAATTATGAAAAGTTAGTACTTTTACAAATTCTTTTATCAAAGAAATGGTAATTATCGTTGGTAATTTAGTATTTTTAGTACCCAATGGATGAAATTAAAGTTTTATTCATTTATATTTCTTAGTATCAGTCTTTTATATTCGCTATAGAAATAACGCAGAGATAGACTCTAAAATATTTTAAATGAAAAAGGATAAAATAAACAAGCCTGCAGTCAAGATTTTTTCCTTTATCGTAGCTAGAGAAATGCTTTAAGTATCGCCGAATGAATGGAAATTAAAATAAGTTTGAAATAGCAAAAGATTCATCTTCAGTGAAAGGCTGATGCTGAAGTGCAAAATTGTTACAGCAGTAAATTTCATTTCCAATCCTTCTTCAATCATTAATAAATGCTTCCGAAGTTCGGAAATCTCCGCTAGTATACCAACTTATTAATAAAAGAAGAAAATGCCCTTAGATTGAAAAAACTATTAATTAATCATTTTAAATTAAAAAGGGCATAAACAGATGTTCTCCGTGAACAATTAGTCGAGGATATTGAAGAATAATGTTAAAAAAAAAAAAAAAAAACTATTCTACTAAAACTTTTTTGTATAGGATTTTCAGCATTTTACCCATTGAAGTCAATTCTGAAATTTTTATGAATAGAATTGTAGATATTGATGAATGGCACGATACTGATAAACCGCCAACACCCTTGATATATACTATACTCATTATATCCCTTTGTACCGGCTATTGCCAAGATCATCATTTTCTGACCAGCTTCGATGAATGGCTCTTAGGTTCAGCAGGATAATCAATTTCGAAAGATGATATCGTTTTTATTAAGGACAGTAGAAAACCATTTTGAACCCATTAAAACCGAATGTTCTTTGAATACCATGGGTAACTTCAATGTTCGTGCCTTCTTTTAACAATTTTCTTTGTAGCGAAAAAAAAAAAAAAACAGTATATATCATGTTAGCATCATTTATATCCTGAATGCTGCAACATGATTCGAAAAATCTAACTGAATTATCGACCAAATGGGCAATTGAATTATCGACAGTCAGTATATGATAAGACGTACAAGCTATTTGTGCACAAAACTTATATCTGCCACAACTACTCGATGAGTTCAAATTTGAATTTCACTTCCTACAAAAAAATTTAATACAACAGTTTCGAATAATAAATCTAAACTTAAAAGCAGATTATTCGAGTTCATAAACGCTGGAGATATTTAAAAATTACAAGATGTTAGAAAATGATTATTTATAAACCTAAATTGATCCAAGCGATAAGTATATGAAATCAAAATTAATTTATTGAAGGATATTTTAATGAATATTTAAATATTCAGAATACCATTACGAATGACTATCTCATGCAACTAGCTGAATGGTGGTTGTACATGTAAATATGAACTGATACAGATCCGCGGGAGTACCTCACATGATGAATGAAAAATGAAAATTTTGGATTAAAGTCGTACTTCGAAATCTTGTTCTATCAAATTCATTAATTTGTTTTAGCTTCAGTAATCACTATAAAAATACGGTAGAGAATGTTAAACATAATTTGACATACCGAATTTCATAAAAGTGAAATTCGATATAATAATTCAGTTAGGTAAAATCAAATCCTTTTTTGTTCTATATTTATGATAAATTTTCTGACGAACCAAAGCAAATAAACAAATTTTACTGATTAAAATCTAGAAAAATGAGATCCAAATTGAAATCCTTAGCAGCAGCACACACCGTCATTTGAAGATGAGACAGTTAACTCATTTTTTACAACCAGTCCTCTTTGCAGTGATCCTAAGCAATGAAGTGTCTCGTGATGTGATCAGTTCGTTGAACAACATTTCAGCTTCAGTGAAAAGAGTGACATCAACAGTCAACATTTAACGGTTTACATTGAATATGATGCGACATTTGAGTGAATAATAAATGCACTGCAATGGCAGATATAAAAAACGATCACTCTTCATACTTCTTCTACAAAGCTTTTTTCTGCAATGATAATATTTGCTTACTTTCACCTTTTATGACTTCAAAAAATACTGAAGCATAAAAAGTTCCCAAACAAGAAGATCAGACCAAACTAGATTGTGTTACATTAGTGTTTAAACATGATACAATGATCACAATTTTTTTTGCTTTAGAATAAGAGCGGGAATCTTCAAAAAGCACGACTAGTTTATATTGCAGTTTGTTTGTTCGTTACTTCCCTCATAAAGATTTTCCTTTGATCGGTATCCAACTGCAGAATTTATCAGTATCCATCCGCTAATGTATTAATTTGATGGATATAGACGTATATTTTACGTAGCACATAGCATAATTCATTCGTTTCACGTAACGTGTTTTCTTTCGATTGCATACTCTTTGCTTTCTTTATAGATGCTCCTTTGCCAATCAATGATAAAAATTTACGCTATCTATAAAATTGCAGTTCAATTTTAAAACAACTATGACTTACCATTCTCGCCCATAATCAAACTTTAGGCATTGATTATCTTTTCTTGCTGAAACTATCATTTCTGAAACGTTTGGACACAGAATAGATTGCATTTTATTCCACCACTCTTTTCCTGACTCTTAAAATAGATATGTCATGTTGTCATCTCTCCATCATCTATACTCTTCAGTTCATTTGAAATATAAACTGCTATTAAATAAAACGATTTAATCAGCTAAACATGAAACTTCAAGTCAGACGGAGTTCATTAAACAATTCCCCGTTTGTTCGACAGCATGATCGCTTACACAGCACTTCCACAGTTAACCTCTGAGTATGATCTGTCTGCCTCTCATTTTGACAAGGTAATTTCAGTGGATCTTTAATTTCGTTTCTATCCAAGTGCGCTACTGTCACATTCTTAACCTCAAACAAATCATTGTTTCCTTTAATCCAATCAAACATTATTACCACTTTGCAGTACACTATTTTAACCAATTCACACCAAAAAACATTTGTACCTGCCATTGTTCCTTATCACCAAATCAATAAAATAGTGTATAAGAATTTCTGATAAAAGAAGTGACGGTTGCATTTCATCTTTGCAGGCATATATGTCAAAAATGTGACTTTCGTCTTTAACCGACGAATTATCTCTTGCATAAGGATTTCTGATAATCTAGATCGATAGGTTGGTGCATTTCCAAAGATTATGGAAATATTTACTAAGATGTAGTAATTTCCATTCGAAATTATGCTTCTTAATCTTTTTTTTTTTAATTTTTTTTTTTTTTTAATCTAATGTAATAAAAGCAATTTTATCATAAAAGCGACCTATTTCAATACTGATTTCAACAATGACAGCTTAAATTCTTGGTACTAATTCATTCAAGGAATTCAAAGGTTTATACAATACTACTTCATTCTTTTTACCCATTACTGCTGGAAATCTTATATAAAGAAGTTTTAGTAGAATATTTTTTAAACATTTTAATTGCAAACAACAGCAGAAGAGAATCTCAAATACAAAATGACGTCTGCAGGACGTACGTAACTCTACAAATTTCAAAAAAACTACGGATGTGAACCGTTTGGATTGAAAATAATTTTTTTACAACTTGCATTTATGGACCTATTCCGGAAGTATTTCCTACTACAGTGTGTAAAAATACCGAGGAGTGGATATAGTCAGACTGCATTAATGAGAGGAAACACTAAAACTCATCCTTCGTTATCCGATTATCAGATAAGCTTAGCAAAAATTTCTTTTTAGTAGAATGTAAAACCATTATTTTATTTTCTACAGAAAGGTTTCAGATTATCTCGCATTTTTTAAATGGGAGAGTGGTTTTTTCCATATTTGCATTATACGGTCTTCAAGTTACTGGCAAAAGTAAAGTCACGATTACTTGAACTTAGCCAATATTTTTCTTTAACAACTTTCAGCACTACTTTTGTATTTGAGTATCAGATCATTGAGCGTGGATGATAATGAACCCAACTTCGCGTAACAAAACATTTGATCATGTCAGCAGTAGCAAGTGACAACTGAGAGATGCCTCAAATGTAATGTTTGTTACAAAATAAAATCTAAGAATTTCGGTAATTCCATTATCTCAGTGCTTCCTGGATATTTTTGATTGCAAAGTGGCGAGGGACTTCATAATTTGATTTCGTCAAATTATTTTGAAAGCATGTTTCGGGGCAAAAATTTCCACTGGTCAATTAACTTTATTTTAAAACTAGTTTGAAACAATTATTTTAAAATCGTTTTGGGAAACATTGTTGTCTTTTCACACTTTCCATGATGAAATAAATTTAAAAAGTGCCAAGTATGATAAGAATGTCGGATGACATTTTACGAATATCTATTGCTAAATTCATTACTTAAAGTACATCAAAAAATTCAAGACATTTCAAACTGCATATTCGACCATTTTTGATATTTGCTGCTCTAGGAAGAACATTTTTTGACATCATTTACGACCCTTTCTTTAAATAATTCTTTCAGTCACCTCACATATTCACTTCACCAAAATTATCAGTTGAGTATATCAAAAGAAAAGAGCGTAGCGTATTGTATCGTCTTTTATAAATAATAAGGCAATAATTAAAAGTAATAGGGAGTGAAAATAGAGAGGGAAGAGGAAAGAGAAGGGGAGAATAATCCTAATTTGCCGGATTCTACTATCTGTATGCTGTATTATTATGATTTCTTATTAGAGTAACAATGAAAAAGTGACCAATTAACTGAGACAAAAGTGGATGAACCCTTCTCAATCGTGTTTAGACACAACTTTTCACCACAAAAAGATTACATATAACTAATATTTGAACGGAGCAATAATGCTGATAATGTCGGTGAAAAGAAGTTTAATCTGAGCACATAAAAGCAACATAACCTTCTTACATGCCTACAAATATTGATCGATTGCTGCGTGGACATCTAAACAATTACAATATAATTCCCATGTAATGTGAAATTAGGAAAACTTCAATTTTAAGGTTATAGCATAACAACATAGGTACAACATGGAGTTCGAGATAGATAGAGTTCGAGAGTGGAGATCATGAATGAGGTGATAAATGAAAGTATCAAGTAACAATTCCCTGATCCAAGATATGTGAATAACGCCGTAAACAAAATTGCGAAATGCGAGCGCAAGCTTCACGGGTATCGTGCTCGCTGCAGGTGAGTACCAAACGAAACCAACCATCACAATGAAAAACGCAACCTGGAAGACAGATGATATTTTCTTCCACGAGTAAGTCTCGAATGAAAATTTCGTCTCTTCCATATATGTGCTCGTCAATGGCTACCATCATGTACATTGTCCCATTAGGAGCAAGAGGTTGCAAACCCGGCACTTTTCTTAGGCATTCAAATACAATGCTTGCATTGCGGTGAATAGTGCGGTTCACCTGTCGAAAAAAATTAGCATTGGTTGAGTGCAATATACGTGGCAGTGCACCTTGAATTAGCACGCAAGGACCTACAATTTTTTGAGCTAATGCTATTAGTCCATTTCGAATAGGTTGCAGTGCTGCATACCGATCGTGGATGATAATCCATCCAAGTCGCCATCCTGGTAGAAGAAACCGTTTGGCAATACTATCACAAGTAAGTATCGGTACTTTCGGTTTCAGAGTTGCTATTGGATGAAATTCAGCTCCATTATAGGTCATCGTTCCATAAACTTCATCAGCAATTATAGGGATCCGTTTTTCAAAAGCGACTTGTAATATCGATTCCAGCTGATTTTTGCTTAAAACTATGCCGGTTGGGTTTGGAGGGTTATTGACGACTATGGCACGAGTTCTGTTATCAATCACAGATTTCAGTTGAGCCAGATCCAGTTGCGAGTTATTCATTATATCGAAGTAATAATAACGACTCTGAAATGTGAGCACCTTGAATCAAAGGATGATCTATTTTTTTATTTCATTCCTCACTTCCAGAAAAATTTAGTAAAAATTCTTCTAGTTAATTTTGTAGTCGTGTCGCGTCTTAAGCTTGAAACTTCCAAACAAACACACTTCAACATTTGAAGATTTAATAAGAGTTGAGTATAAGGGAAAGCCAGGTGCTGGTACAAGAATGTTGTCGCCTGGATTTGCCAGCGCTTCGATTGCCATTTCAATAGCATGTGAGCAACCACTGGTTAACAGAACCGAATCCGCGGTAACTGGTGCTTCAGGATGTGTGAAGTGTCGGGCTATCGCCTCTCGAGCTTCCAGAATTCCTAAAAATGAAAAATAAATCCTAAATGACTTTGATAAAGTGTTGAAATTTTATTGGAAGAATGATAAAACAAGCTTTCAATAAAAGATATTAAGTTGTACTGTTTGGTCTTAAAAAAAAGAAAAAATCCTTTAAATTTTAAAAATAGTTTTTCAAACAGTTTAAAAGAGCAAAATGATGGAATGATTTAGGCAATTTATCATGAATGATAATGGTAAATTACCAATGGCAGGTGCATAACCCTCGTATTTACGACTAATTAATGCTTCACTTATGGCCTGAATCGCAGTTGAACATACAGGTAGTGCGCCAGAAATAGTCGGATCTCCAAGGTTTAATTTAAGTAATGGTTTTTTCGTATTGGATGACACCAATAGAGAGTCACAAATTTGCCGAATTGGATTTACCATATTTTTGGTCATTTCTGATACGGGTATTTCCCAGGTGTTGGCGCTGATAAATGTTTTCCCTTCATTCTGAAAGCTTTATTATCCGTTCGGATACACATGTTATTTGTTGTGAACAACGATAAGATGAAAAGTACTGGCAGTAGATGAAAATCATTTAGATGTCCCGAAGCTCAAGGATTTCGGTTCAAATAGGTACTTTGAAAAATGCAAAACAAAAGTTCATTGTTAATCCATAATTACAAAAACACCCTCCCTTATTGATTACAATCACTAACATTTCTATCATTCATCATATCAGCATTCTGTTCCATTTTCTTGCTGATGTGAACTGCTTGAATGAGACTATCACAGCTTGGCACCATGTACAGTCATTGCTAAAAAATAAATCGTGTAAAATTCGCAGATTAGCAAGCAGACTGTCCTCGTATTGCGGCGAACCCATACTTAGTGCTATTCTCTCATACAACTTGCATACGAGTTGCAAGACCACTCCATTCTTGATCTAATTTGGTACAACTTGAAATTCATGTAAAATATTTCAGTTATTCCGTTGCATTTCAAAATGCAACTTTTGTTTGATTATTAATGTAATGAATCCGAAATCGATGTGGAGAGAAAGACTTTCATTGCATACATGATTGGTTTGTAAAAAAATTTATGGGAGATAATGATGCATACAGATATGATGAATATACAGTATGCAGGAAGCAATTAAATTTGCAATGCTAAGAGCTAGTGGTAATACAAGCCTCGCAGTGCATTCTGTCGACTGTCACCATATTAAATGTTCGAGAGATGAGATGTCTCGGGATTTCTGAAACTATTGATATTTGACAGATGTAAAGCAGTAAAGTTAGGTACAAACGGAAGCAGAAGAGAGTGAAAATTTTTTAGGAAGCACAGGGCGGTGAAAATAGAAAAATGAAGGAGTAGTTATTAGGGAGTGCAGATAGGCGAAAGATCTTCGGAAAGGTAACCATGCAGTAAAAGGCAAACAGCAGCAATGAGACATCAATCTTGAATCAAAGGAGTGATAAACACAGGTTAAGGGGGTACTGGGAAGAAGTGTAAACTGGTTCTGCTGCTTAAAAGAGTATCCATCAGATTGTTTGATATTTTCATTTTAATTTACAAAGCAATCAAATTTTACTTAGATAAAGAACTAGAATATTCCTAAGAATACAAGTGATGAATCACTCATCGTGTAAACTGCTGATAGTGACATAGTAGCAGATCAAATCAGTGAAAGTTGGAGTTGATTCGATGAGCATCACAAATCATCAAGACATCAAAGGAAGGGACGATAAAAGGGACAGAGGAAGAAGTTGCCGGAAGAGATAGGAAAAGCAATCGCCAAATTTATTGTATTAGCACTTGCACATTATTTATTATTCCCTCCATTTTTCTCTGTAAAAGTTTTTTGAAAGATTATATTACATTGTTTTACTTTGAAATTTTGGGTTTTTAAATCAAAATTATGTCAGAGAAGTTAACCTACAAACCAAGTGAAATGGCATTCGGATAAGTAGCATTTCACTCCAGTTATTTTCATTTCACTTCCAAATATAATCGTCATCGTTTGTGAAGTTTCTTTAAATGAATTTATCGGTCTCTTCTGTGTAACAGAGCACTCAAACAGCCAAACTTATCAATAAATCACCATATTTTTATTGTTTACAAAATTATTCATTGATAATACAAGAAAATATAATTTAGGTAAACCACTACAACAATAAGGATATCTAGAGCATTTTAAATAGACGTATACATTATTATTATTCAGTGGAAACCTTTGCTTTTCATTACATCATGTAAATCTAGAAAAAAATATTGTACTACAAAAATCACAAAGCAAAGGTCTTCTAATACCCGCTTTATTGAAAAAACGAACAATCAACCAGTTACGGAACCGAGATTTGCACATACAAAGTAAGACTTTTATAAGATATTACTAATGCATTCTTTTACTATTTAGCAAAAATATCCTTGCTATAATTTGTATTGAAATTTGATAAGTTGTAAGCGACAAACTTTCAAAAAAGCAATATTCATATAAAAGTCTTGTGAAATAAGTTCAAAATGACAAGTGGAAAATATAGTAATTATAAAAATTGATCTAAAATTTTCATCCAATAATACGCTGATATTGTTAAGAATCATTTCATACTTTCACAATAGACATAAACTAGATTAAAACTTTAAACTTATTTATTTGTTTCTTTTTTGGTACTTTTTTGTTTATGGCTACTCTGTCTTTGATTAATGCAAGCGTTATTTCATTTTATATCGAAAGCGTTTAACTAATCAAGTTAGCTTCAGCTCGTAAGAATTTACAGTAGAAGCAACAAACACCACAACATACAAAGGAATATTTAACTTAAAATATACCGAATATGCAATTGAAGAAGTGAGACAAAGTGAAGATTGAAAAAAGTTTAAATTAATTAGATCAGATAGATTGACGTGACAAATTTGATTGTACTCTATTCCCATTGTTTCAACAGCGGCATTCTTCGTGGTAGGTTAAGTCTTTTTAATGTATACCTCTTCCATTATGTTAACTCCTTCCGTTAACCTTTCTCAGTTCTAATGCACTATAATTATTACCAAATCATCGAATATTTTAAATAATGGCTCAAGTTGAATTATACCTTAAAGCCGATATTTATGAACATTGGTCAACCATATCAAAACCTACCCTCACTAATGGCATCCTATTCGCTTCTGCTACATAGAATCCATGAAACTCACTAAATGTCATATTTCAGCAGTTTGCTTGCGATGTACGGTGTTCTGCTAAACAGTAGCTACTACAAACAGGAAAAGAGATCGGTGATCGACCACACAGACAAATAACCGCCATCTCTTTGCTTGCCCGTTTACAACTTCTTATTTGAGCAAAGAAAGATTGGTCAGGGTGCATCACAATATCAAACTACAGTAAAATTGGTTCCTCATCTCAGTATTGCTATCAGAATGTACCAAAGGCGAGTTAAAATAAAAAGCAAGCAAAAAAAAAGTATAATAACAGATTGCAATTAAACAACTCAGTCTAATTATACAAAATTACAGTGTAATATATGTGGTTCCTGATAGAGTAGTGTAATGAAAAGACATCGAGTATGATTCGCAAAAATAATCGTAAAAAAAAAAAAAAAAAAAAACTTCATGTAAAACGGGGTAAATTCAGCATTTTGTTATTTTATAAGGATTGAAAATGGTGAAAAAAATATACGTCAACAAGTAATATCCTATGACGAGGAATCCCACTGTGAAAACAGCGGGAATAAACAATCAAATTTATCACATCAATCTATTTGATCTAATTAATTTAAATTCTCTTCTATTCTCAAATTTCTTCCATTGTTTTAGTTGTATGTTCAGTATACTTTAAGTTGAAATATTCACGGCCAACTTTAAGTGTTGTGATACTTTTTGTTACTTATGCTTGCACATTGTTAGCAGTTCAAGATAACTTAACATAAGTCACGTGTAATTTTGCATTAATTTATTTGTAAGGAAAAAAATACAAGATTGTAATTAACTCTGAGAGACTATACGAACTACCAGTGTGTTTCGTTGGGTTTCTGACCCCTTATTGTTATTGTTTTTTCTGATCGCACGAATTTTGTTCAAATAGATTCAAAATAAAAAGCAGTTGCCACGAAAATTTATCTGAATTGAAGGACAATGTTTTCACAACGTCTTCGGATCAATTCATAACAGTAAATACAAGGATTAATGTGAAATATGTTATAATGTGAACGTTCGTTTAAGATAACTAACTTCACAGATTAGATCAATCAAGTAAGCCTTGCTGTTGTTTGAAATGATGCTGCTGCAAATGGGTTCACTGCTCCAAATGGTGCAAAACCTATAAGCTTAGATAAGAGTTAAAATTAAAAGCTACTCCTGTAGATTTTAATAAGGTGCTTCAACTAATAAATATCGCATCCATTTTTTCAAGTCGTAAACCGCAACGAAATTTTGAATTTTATTAAAACAACGTGAATTTCAAAAAAAAAAGACAGGACAAAAAAGATAATCTCATTTTTTAAGTTGCAACTTTGCTGCGTTTCGAATCCATCTGGCCAAAAGTTTAGAAAACTCTAGTTTCTACTACAAACTGTCTGTCATTAAAAGAAGTGTTTATTGAAAATAATAAAAATCTTGTGGGCCTTTTATTGTAAACGCAAAGTAACTTAGTGGAACGTCTCTTATCAAAAGGATGAGTAAAGCATCGGATAGCTCATTTTGTTACTGACAAAAATAATAATTCAAAAGCAAAATAATTTAAAAATTAAAAAGTCTCACTAGTTGGAGCATTGAGAAATTGTGCAGCCGGTGAGGCACTAACAGATGCCGAATAAGTTCCCTGATACACTGCTGATGATAAGGAATGAGGTACCGCGCTACCACTATAGCTTGAAAGTGCCCGCGGTGATAGATTGTGAGATCGTGTATAGTCTGAAGTATCACAACAACCGTCATTTCGACAAAGCACAGTAATTTTCTACAATGAAATAGTTTTTGCCGAAAAAAAAAAAAAAAAAAAAAACAAGAAGGATAGTACTTTAAAAAGTTTGAATTTCATCTAAACATAGAATTCCGGAAGTTTGTTCTAGCCTAAGTGATAACTCTAAAGTTCAATGATCCTAATTTGATGTTGAGATGTTGCTCACCTCTTCCCTATCATTTTTATTACATATAGCAAATTTTGCATGAATTCGAATCATTTTGATAAAGGTGCTTAATTCAAGTTTTGCGTGCAATCCGTAACTTTAGAATATAAATAGAGGTAAATGTGCCGTATCCAGTGTCACGTGCTTTCTTTGCTGATGGCTCCGTGGGCTGAATAATTAGAGTCGTATTATGGAGCCATTCAAAAATGATCCACCAACCAAAACATTGTTTTCATTTGTTTGATTGATATAACAAAGTGAGCGGTAAGAAGAGAAGAAATAAAGAGAATCCCATTAGTCTTCACCCATTAGCTTAGGTTACAAGACTGGAATATTTTATACACTTCTCTTCTCTAATCTGATTTCGGTTCCGATCTCTTGTTATATTAGCATTTTTCGCAGTTACACAAAAGAATGAATCAAAATTCTGCACTTAAAAGTTCTAAAATGTTTATATCTTCTGGGGAAAGGTATAAATTAACAATTCTCATGTCATTTTACTAATTGCATAAAGTTTGCTGGATTTAAAAAAAACTTGCCATTGTTAGTGTCAAATTGAGCGGTATATGCGGAAGCATAATGAGACAATGGATCAACCGGGGTTCGTGGTGGTGGCAAAGTAAACTGTTGGCTAAAATTTATCAAATATTAACATCTGACAAATCGGAACTCAAATCATC